GGAAGTTAATGACCCGGCTTCCTGACTGGGAAGCCGGCTTGATGCTGATTGGCTGATAAGTGACAGATTCCGGCTTCCCGGGCAATCAAGACGCCGGATGGATGGTAATGACACGCAACCTGGTTTCCAGATTGGCCGGGAAGCCGGCTTCATTCTAGTGGAAGTATCGGTACTCTGTATCGGCGATTACAGAAAGATAAATATCGGTACTCGATACCAAAAAACGGTAATGGTGCATCCCTATCTATCTCCTAGCCTGAGCTCTGATATACATTGGATTGGTATTACATTAAAGTTACATTTGGGTATTTGCACTAGTGTTTTTTCAAAAATACACTTGAAGGGCAATTTTACCTGTAATACTCCCTCCCCTCCTGATCGAGCCTGCACTAACACCCCTCCACCCCAGCTTCTTACTTGCCACTCTAGCAGAGAGGTCTCCTGCTGCAATGTTTATTCAAGCTTGGCAGAAATCCACTTCAATGATGGACTTTCCTGCACGCTGAGCCCCCAAAGACTTGCATGGGACCATACAACATCTGCATTCATCTTTTTAAATATGCACAAAGGCATCATCATGATGAAAGTTAATTTTAATCAATATTAAATATTCATTATAAGGCATTCTGCTTAAAATAATCTGGTGTCATTGATATATTTCTGTTTTTACCTGCTTTAATTGATTCTAATATACTAGTATACAGTCTACTAGGAGAGCAGATAAGGAGTGTTGTCATACAAGGAATGTGGCCTGTTTATGTTCATATGTATACTTTGACAGATTACATGATCATCTGTCACTAAAGCATAATATCTGCAATTTGTAAATTTTCATATTTTAAAGGTTTTTGAACCATCTGCTCTTTGTCTGGTCAGTTGGACATTAAGAGCCTTGATGTCAGATTATAGCAAATAATTCTGAGTGAAGCACGTTAACATGCAAGATCGTGCCATGAAAATTTCCTCGTTGCTCCATGGCATAATCCAAGGCTTCTGGAAGCTCACAGTTTCGGGCAATACATGTCTAAACATGCAATGAAATGACCTGTACTGCACAGCTAATTGCATGTTAATTACAGCAGTCTTATAATTGGAAGGTCTTTGGCCTCAGTGCATAGGGCTGACAGCTCTTTAAGTCATCACTTAAGCGTGACATTTCATTCTGACCTAATCAGAAGGTTATGCATTTGAAAATAATTAGTTTTCCCTGAGCATCAGGAATTTTCAGAATGGTATTGCTAAAATGTATGTGCTCACCTGTGGATTTTGCTTTATAATTGTGTGTGTATGGTGTTTATTTTAGAATTGTACAACCCCGATTCCTAAAAAGTTGGGACGCTGTGTAACATCTATATAAAAACAGAATGCAATGATTTGCAAATCTCATAAACCTGTATATTATTCACAATAGAAAATAAAAAACATGAATGTTTAAACTTAAAATAAGGTAACTTTAAAATTGATGGCAGCAACACGCTTCAAAAAAGTTGGGACAGGGCAACAAACAGCTGGCAAGGTAAGTGGTACTATAAGGAAGAGCTGGAAGAACATTTTGCAACTAATTGAGTGAATTGGCAACAGGTCAATAACATGATTGGGTATAAAAAGAGCATCTTAGAGAGTCAGAGTGTCTCAGAAGTAAAGATGGGCAGAGGTTCACCAGTTTGCGTCTGGAAATTGTTGAACAATTTCAGAATATTGTTCCTCAATGTAAAATTGTAAACACTTTAAATGCAGTATATCACCATCTACATCAGGGGTCAAAATGTAAAGTCCTGAGCTACTCGCCACCAGTTGCCCACCTAACCCCTACCCTCCCGTGGCCTTAACTCCGCCCCTAAATGCACCCTCTTAAATAATGTTATCAATGAGACTGTTATATGTTTTATGCAGAATAAAGTTACAAGAATAAATATTAACAACTTTAATGCCCCCACACATAACATAATCCCTTCCCCTTGTTCCCTGCCCCCACAATGTTAAATAATACAAAGAAACCCCCTCACCTGCTTGTCTTTCTGCAGGGAGGAGGCGAGCAGGCAGATCCCTGGTGATCTAGTGTGATTAGTAAGGTCTGCAGACCTGCAGCTGCGAGCCGGCTGTGTGTTACAAACTGATACTTCGTATCTCTGAAGAGTATACAGTGTGTTAAATAAAAAAAATTGTAAGAAAATATAGTGATGAGGAGGTTATTAAAAGATAGGAGACTAAGGGCTTGTTCACACCAAATACTGACCAGATCTGCATGAGTTTCTGCACAAGTTTTTGGTTAAAATGGGCTTTCAGAGCGTTCCAGTGCGTTTGCATGCATTTTTGATGCATTTACATGCGTTCCAGAGCAGAAAAAATAGGGCTTGCTGCAGTTTTTTTTACATGCTCTGGAACTGAACGCTGCGGTGTGAACTAGAGCCCAAAATACCATTGGAATACATTGGACGCAGTTTTGATCCGGTCTGTAACTGCTCTGCTCCTGGAACGCGCTTGGTGTGAACTGGCCCTAACATACCACATTCTAAAATTGTTCCACACTAAAATTGTATTTCACTCCTTGTATTTTGTGACCTATAATAAAATGAACTGAAATTCCAGACATATGATATACCTTATAAATCAGGACAAATAAAATAATTTATTAATTACTTTCTGTTAGCTACACTAATTATGTAGACATTATTATTGCCAAAACTGTGGAAAAAATTATTTATATAAGCATATGTTGGACTTGATGAACTTATGTCTTTATTCAACCCCAAATACTATGTAACTATGTAACTATATGTCACATTAAATTAAAGTCCATATTGTCCTTTGAAAAAGGTATTTAACCACCTGCTGTCCGGCTGTTGTAATTAAACAGCGGCTTCTTGAGAGCGGGTGGGCGTCTTTAGACGTCCCGCTCGTGCCGCCGCTTTGAATGTAAACAGCCAGCATAAAAGCTTTTTAAAGCGTCGGCTATGGTCCATTTTGAGTCTGGTAGTTTTTTGCGATTTTAACGGGTGCGCGCAATTTTAAAGCTTGACATATTTGGTGTCTATTTACCCGACGTGACCCTGTCTTTTATATTTTACCAAAAAATTGGGTAATAATAAATGTTTTATAACATAACGTAGGGAGAACAGGTTTTTTTTCAAAATTTTCGGTACTTTTGTCATTATATAGTAAAAAAAAAAAAACCCGTAGTGGTGATTTAAATACCACCAAAAGAAAGCTCTATCTGTCCCCAAAAAATGGTATAACATTCATTTCAGTACAGCGTTGCATGACGGAATAAATGTCAGTCAAAGTAACGCAGCGCTGAATACGGAAAAATGGCCTGGACAGGAAGTGGTTAAACAAACATTTTGGTTAGCAAAAATGGCAAAATTGCTCCGGTCCCCAGGAATGTAAACATGTTCTGAAGATGTGTCTTTAAGGGGTCAAAGTGTTTCTGTGGTAGAAGAATGCTGCTTAGCATGGTAATGTAATCTGTGCCAGTGCCTGTTTTTGAAATGACTTTGTTTTATTTGTATATATTACCTGTTGATTCCGCCAAGTGAGCAACTTTTACGATGTTGTCTCTCCTCTAAAACTTGCACTCCCTTTAGCAACCATCAGATACATGCCCACACAGGTTGAGCGTCGCACATCATCACAATGTACCACTTGTATCTCTGTCCATAGCCAATAGTGTTATTAGGATTCTGGGAAGTTACTGGGAAGTGTAGTTGCCAGCAGCACTACATAACAAGGTAACAATTTCTCTATACTGAAGCTCAAGCTAGTGGACTGGAGTTGAAAGAGAAGTAGCGGATGGAGTGCTGGCTATAAAATGAGGGACATATGGTCACTTGAATTTTTACCTGTGCACTGTGATGTGCCTGTGTACAAAACGTATTAGATGTTGAGATGACTACATGGGTTTAGTTATCCTCTAATGCCTTTGATAAATTTAGGAATAAATCACTATTTCATATACTTTTTATGAAGTAAATTTTATAGTGCAAGTCAAAACATATTTTCTAGTTTTGGATAGAGTGGATAGAACCCCTGTGAGGTTTTTATTGCTGTCTGTGTCCCTGCTGGGTAGATCCCCTCCCCTCCCAATCCTGTTGGCCATTGTTTGTGGCACAGAAAACGATGGGACATCGAATATATTCTAGTTGTCTCAGGAACAAGTGAGGGGAAATTTCCCAATGGGGCACCTAATAATATGTCAGATGTCAAATGTGGTTTTTGCTCTTTCAGTGTGCCTGTAGCATTTCTCCTCATAGGATCTCTGTCTAGTAGACATTGGTTTTGTGCCCCCAGCATTTGAGATTCCCTGCAGAGATCAGAGTCTGTCTCCACACCCTCCCCTCCTCTGGCTGGCACCTTAGAGCTTTATTTTTAATATTTGCACATAGGGATCTGCCTCATTGGTCTGGACATGTGCCTATTGATAAGCCTAAATACATTTTCATTTTGTAAGTACAACTACTTGTTTTTATGTCTGTGAAGGTTCTCATTCAGCCAGGTCATGGTATATCTGAAAATAAATAAATCAAGGCAACTGGACTTGCTGTATTTTTCTTGAAGACGTTTCACTGGTCATCCGACCAGTTTTCTCAATTCAGAATGACTTGTACACAAATGATCTGGTAATAAATATGGTGAATGTTGCTCCAATCCACATAATCTGTTAATCGCAACCAGGTGTTTAATTGCATTTGCATAATCGGAGCTAGGAGGTGTTAATAACCTGCCCAGAGAGGTGTTATTTTGTTTTTATGTTTGATTGTTTGTTTTTTTACAAAAAATGCGATTTTTCTGCATAGTTCCGCGTGCTCTGTACTTGCTATTTTTTTAACTTTTCTTTGTAGCTAGTGTTTGTCTGTAGTTTAATGGTCATTTAACAGGTTGTGTATTATCCCAGATTATCATCGGATGTTGAGGAGTTCTCTAGTACAAATCTACAGATAAATAAAACTGAAAATTTCTAAAATCTATATGGCATTAACTGCAGTAATTCTTCTCTTTTCCAGATCCTGCCCCTGGAAAATAAGATGAAGATCCCCCATCAGTTCCCTATTGTGTTGTATGTTGGCATGGGTATTGTCACCGCTCTCTACATCAGCATGGGCACCCTTGGGTACTTGCGTTTTGGTTCTGCAATACAGGCCAGCATAACTCTGAATTTACCAAATTGCTGGTAAGTCTGGGGGGATACCTTGTCTGTCTTTAATATAGCGAGGTGAGGAGTACTCTTGCACCTTCTTTATAAAAGGTTATGCTTCCTTTTTTTTGGTTCCCACATAAGTGGTTATGCAGTCACAGATCTTGCACACGAAGAGCCCTGTTGTCCATTTTTCTGTGTTTTCCAGTACAGGTTAGATGCATGTATGCCATCAAAATGCCTTGTTTAAAACTCTCCTCAACTTAAATGAAAAATGCACATGCTCAGCAGGTGTTAAAAAAATGCAGCTTTCATTTTAATACGTGCCTCCTCTCCTGTGCTGTCCCCAAAGACTCAATGCTTCATTCTGCTTTTGCTGCTGGTCTTCCAGCTTGAATGACAGCAAGTGTCTTACTGCAACTTTCTCTGAGCCCAGGATGTCATGAACCTGCCTATTGGGGGTGTGTATTCATGCCCCCCTGGGCTCACAATACTTCTGTACAAAATGGTTCTCCCACATCATTACATGTGTGCCTTTCTGGACAGGAGTTAGGACTGTCCACTGCTAGAAGTAACAAAGAGAGAAGAAACAGGACCCAGCGAGTCATGTGAATGAAGAGAGGACAACTAGAAAAGTTCCAAAGAGGTTGTGTGGGCTTTGGGGGGGCGGCAGTGTTGTAAAAGCTATAAGGCCAACCTGAATTTGACCTTTTCACACCAATGTGCTTTATGGCCAAAATTTGTCTTGTTTACTCCAATATGGTGCATTAAGGAGTATCAAACATCTGAGGTGTACTGAGTTGCAGCTCTCCATTCAAGTCAATTTAATGCAGTCCTTCACAATGTATGTAAAACACACCTGAATGTGCCAAAAAGGTATATGCATTAACACATGCTCAGGTGTGTAGGCAGGCTAAGTTGAGTGCAAAGATACTGTATATTTAACTTGGAAAAGTGCTTTTGTAGTTATTCTACACTCACCCGCTTTGTCTGTCTCCCACAGGCTGTACCAATCTGTGAAGCTGCTTTATTGCTTCGGGATCTTTATCACATTTGCATTACAGTTCTACGTCGCTGCAGAAATTATAGTTCCTAGTGCCACCTTCAGGGTGTCTGACCGGTGGAAACAACTGGTGGACCTGAGTGTAAGAGCGGCTCTAGTTTGTATAACATGTAAGTTTGTCCCAAATGGTTTTTTGAATTGTATACATCCTTTGAAGACTAAACAAGGTTGGATATTTCTTATAATGAACTTACACAGAGTTTATAGAATTATAATAAAAGATGTTGTGCACCTTTTTATTGGTGTCACCAGGGAGCAGCACTCTAGCAATATAGCCAGTGCATACATCCAGACTGATATGTCAGTTAGTAGATTAGTGACACGCAAGGACACTGATGGGGTGAGTTGCGGAGTAGAAAGACAGATTTGAGTGTCATCGGCATAGAGATGGTATTGGAGCCATGTGAGGTTATTTACTGACCAAGAGAGGAGGTGTAGATAGAGAAGAGAAGGGGTCCGAGGACGGAGCCTTGGGGGGACCCCTACAGAAAGAGGAGGGGAGGAGTTAGATTTGTAGGTGACGCTAAAGGAGCGCTTAGGTAGGAAGAGAACAATGAGAGAGCAGAGTCTTGAAGGCCAAGCGAGTGGAGTTTTTTGAGGAGGAGCAGGTGGTCAACAGTGTCAAAAGTAGCAGAAAGGCCTAATTTACTCCAATATGGTGCATTAAGGAGTATCAAACATCTGAGGTGTACTGAGTTGCAGCTCTCCATTCAAGTCAATTTAATGCAGTCCTTCACAATGTATGTAAAACACACCTGAATGTGCCAAAAAGGTATATGCATTAACACATGCTCAGGTGTGTAGGCAGGCTAAGTTGAGTGCAAAGATACTGTATATTTAACTTGGAAAAGTGCTTTTGTAGTTATTCTACACTCACCCGCTTTGTCTGTCTCCCACAGGCTGTACCAATCTGTGAAGCTGCTTTATTGCTTCGGGATCTTTATCACATTTGCATTACAGTTCTACGTCGCTGCAGAAATTATAGTTCCTAGTGCCACCTTCAGGGTGTCTGACCGGTGGAAACAACTGGTGGACCTGAGTGTAAGAGCGGCTCTAGTTTGTATAACATGTAAGTTTGTCCCAAATGGTTTTTTGAATTGTATACATCCTTTGAAGACTAAACAAGGTTGGATATTTCTTATAATGAACTTACACAGAGTTTATAGAATTATAATAAAAGATGTTGTGCACCTTTTTATTGGTGTCACCAGGGAGCAGCACTCTAGCAATATAGCCAGTGCATACATCCAGACTGATATGTCAGTTAGTAGATTAGTGACACGCAAGGACACTGATGGGGTGAGTTGCGGAGTAGAAAGACAGATTTGAGTGTCATCGGCATAGAGATGGTATTGGAGCCATGTGAGGTTATTTACTGACCAAGAGAGGAGGTGTAGATAGAGAAGAGAAGGGGTCCGAGGACGGAGCCTTGGGGGGACCCCTACAGAAAGAGGAGGGGAGGAGTTAGATTTGTAGGTGACGCTAAAGGAGCGCTTAGGTAGGAAGAGAACAATGAGAGAGCAGAGTCTTGAAGGCCAAGCGAGTGGAGTTTTTTGAGGAGGAGCAGGTGGTCAACAGTGTCAAAAGTAGCAGAAAGGCCTAATAGCAAGAGTAAGGAGTAGTGGCCATTGTTTTTAGCTGTTTTGTAAGTTTTAGGAGGGCGGTTTCAGTGGAGTGTAGAGGGCGAAAGCCGGACTGCAAGGGGTCAAGAAGGTTGTTATCAGCGAGGTGGCGGCGGTAGATAAGACATTCTAGGAGTTTGGAGATGAATGGGAGTAAGGAGATTGGGCTGAGATTGTTGAAGGGTTTTCTGGGTATTGGGGTGACTAGCACATGTTTTGGAAGGGAGGGAAAGATGCTAGCAGAGTAGCAATAGTCTGCAGTGTCTTTAGTTGGGATGGTGGCCTAGTAAAATAGTGTATCGGAATGCAGAGGTGAGAAGGGAAAGTTGGAGAAAGGGGGGAGGGGGGGGGGGGTTATTCAAAGTGCAGATCAGAGGGCAATCAGCTCGAGCACAATTTATGGTTAGAAAGACATGAAGCAGGCATCTAAATAAATAAAGCTATCGCTTAAAACATCAGACATTAACCGGCTTAGATAATAATTACAATAGTACATACAATTAATACAATCAAAGTCTTTATTTCTATGGAATCCTTTCAGCTGTTCTCATGTTGCAGTTATGAGCCAATATTGTTATGATGTGAAATTTTGGTTCGGTTGATATTCAGCTCTGTGCCCTTTGACCTGTATATCAGAGATGTGCAATGCATCACTTCCCATTCTCTCCATCCATTAGTGGACGACATGCCCCAATCTCTGTTTCTATGCCCCCACTTTTGTTGTGTCCTTCCAGGAGTGTGGGCTAGACTTGTTCTAATTTTCTTTTCAAGAACCTAAAGCCAGCCATGCAGAAAGAGAAAATGATACTATTTGACAGGTCAGCCCCTCCTTAATGAATATTTTACTTCTTTTTGTGCAGCAGGTAAAACATTGCAATGGTCAAGTGAGAGACATTGGCATCAAACAGCTTTTTCAAGGCCATCATTTTTAGGCCTATAAGTGCAATCTGCTATCCTATGCTGCACTGTCTCTTGGTCATATATGAAATATGTATTTGGAAAACAAAGGTTTTATAGATGTATTCTAAAATGGATAAAAAATAATAATTAAAAAAAATGGACTCCAAATAAATTACCTGGAGTGGCAGGAAGGTCAATTATTCACTTTATTATTTTTTGTTTTGACACTGCATGTTAAAATATTCAGTGTAATGTAGATTGACCATTGTTGTTACTATGTCCATTAGAGTGCCCTTTACACTCTATGGCAGGGGTAGGCAAATTTTGGCCCCTAAGCAAAAGTGACACTGCAAATCCCATCATAACTCTGGGATACATGCCTGTGGCTGTCAGAGTCTAATGGAACTTGTAGTCCCACAACAGCTGGAGGTTCACAGTTTGTTTACCCTTGCTCTATGGGGTCAGTTGACAAAAGTTTTACCACATACCTTTTTTGCTTTACTGGGCATTATGTTCATCATCTGTAGAAATTTCATTGGCCAAATGGAATTACCTAACTTTATCAATGCAGATACTGAAAGAATTCAGTATTTTATAAAAAAGACCAGGTGAACAAACGTACAACTCTTGCAACATGTAAGACCGTTTACATATATTTATTACAACTGCATAAAACATTGCTTGGTTTTTGGCTCTAATATAGGGACAGTTTATACTAGCTTGCTGACACTTTCGGTTCCTGACGGCTAAAGGCTTGTAGATCAACAATCCTGGGTTAATCTGACCTAAATATGTCTTGTCTAATTGATTGTTTTTTATTGTACTGCGGCTTGCAGGTTGTATGTTCATAAAGTGTCAAGGACTATATTGAGATAATAGCCAGAAACCATTTGAAAGCTTTTCTATTGATGCTTTACGTTCCCATGAGAAGTTCGGTGGAGTTAATAGAGTATGCCTTTTTTTTCTGCCTGAAAAAGGAAAGCTTAGAGTAGCACTTCTCACTGGCTCCATCCTCTGTCCCTAAGGGCACAAGTCACGCCATGCATCTGTCTCTTATGTGTCTACCCAACACAGGGAGTAAATAGAACTCAAGTAAAGATATACCGCTATACTTTTTGAGAGAGAAAGAGAGTTGTATTATGCATTGCTGGGATTTGTAGTGGTATTCTGCATTGTTGTCAGGCCCGGCGCTACCGCAAGGCAAGTCAGGCGGCCGCCTGAGGGCGCTGCAGGGTGAGGGCGGAAAAAACAGGGCATTGTACTTGTCAAAATGCCCCGATGTTTGCGCTTTGTTTTTTTTCCCACTTACCTTCGGTGCGGGAGAGCAGCGGCGAGTCAGCGCTGGTCCAGTGGGAGGAGCTCCAGGTGGGGTCCTAATTTAGCTGGCCGACGACTGCCAGAGGATCCCGACACGCGTGGCAACTCAGGTAAGTGAAAAAAAAACATAGCGCAAACATCAGGGCATTTTGACAAGTACAAGTACTTTTTACAGGGGGGGGGGGGCGCGCAAAAATGCACCTTGCCTGTGTAGGCAAGAATCCTAGCACCAGCCCTGATTGTTGTATAATGTATTGCTTAGATTTGTAGCCCCTCTACAGCTTGAAGTCAGTGGCAGAACTACCAGGGTCGCAACAGTTGCAGCTGGGACCGGTCCCTGGTGCTTCACCACTGTATTAAAACCATTAGGCTATATTGTTTTAGAAAAACTGTCACAAAACACTAAAAAAAGGTATCAGTAATTGGCATCAGTGCGTACCTGAGGAAAAGTATCTGTACTTGTACTACGTCTTAACAAAAATGGTATATATATTTATTATTTACATCTGGTTTTTATCCTTTGTTGGATCTCAGTGCTGCTAATCTCCTGCAGCCTTATTAGCCTACTTTCTATCTACATACACTTCAGCGAAGGCTGCATGGCACGTTACCTGATGGTGGCAACAGTGTACTTTGCCTGCGCAGCCCCGCATAGTCTTCCCTGTAGGGTGACAATGCAGAAGTGCAGTTGGGAAAGGAGGACAGAACGCTGCCCCTCTATAATGGGAAGTGCCTGACCAGGATCACTAGGTGTTATTTTAATAAATGCTGTGGTTTTGAAAATATAAAAAATGGCTTTTGAAATTACATGAAAGCCTATTTCTTTCTCGTCCACTAAGGGACACGGGAAGTATTTCTCCTTCGGGTTATACTGCCACGTACAGAAGGATTGGACACTGACAAACAAAACCCGCTGTATCAGATCCCCCAACTCTCACTCTACTAATGGCTCCTGGGCTGCTTGCATACTGCTGGTTCCGCAGCCTGAAATCATGGTGCCATCTGCCCCTAGAGCGCATTCCATTATAAGAGTCCTTTTTGGCATGACCAGTTGCTCTGTCTTTCTGGCTAAGGTTTTTGCTACAGTTGTGCAAGATTTCTGCTTCTGACTACAGTGGCCATAAGCCTGTTCCCACACCTTCCCTTGCAGATTCTCTTTCTGATTTACCCACAGCCTTGGTAGCTTCTGAGCCATCAGCCAAAGAGAATCGATCCAGCATTTGACTGATGAACTTTCCCCTGGCAGTGTTCTGCCTTAACAGAGTGTTTCT